AATGAAAGAGAAAGACAGAAAGAAAGAAAGAAAGAAAGAAAGAAAGAAAGAAAGAAAGAAAGAAAGAAAGAGAGGAAGAAAAGAAGGAAGGAAGAAAGAAAGAGAATGAAAGAGAGAAAGAAAGAGAGAGAGAGGGAGAGAGAGAGAGAGAGAGAGAGAGAGAGAGAGAGAGAAGGAAAGGAAACATTTCCAAGCCCACATTGACCAAAAAATAATTTAAAATAAAACCTGTAACAGCAGTGCTCACCCAGATCCCCTCGTGAGGCTTCCTTCGCTGCAGCTTTGGCTCTGAGCACACAACACACGCACACCTTGCACCACTTTATTACTTCTATGCCCAAGTCACGTATCATTTTCGGAAGCAAAAGAGGGTCATGACTAGAGATGCACGGAGTGCCCTCAGGCACAGGCTGGCTCCCCACCCTACAGCGCCACTACAGAGGCACAGGCACAGTGCCTTGTCCTTCCTCAGGGACCCAGATCACACACCCAGTACTAGCTTCAGCCGCAAGGAAACAGTAATGGCTTGGATTCTTTCTCTTCATTTTTAAGACTTCAAACTTGGCAGGTTTCGAAGCCTGAGCTCCTTTCCAGCTTCCCCAACTCCAGGTTCACATAACCAAGATTCCCTGCCTCAGATACAGCTGACCCAGTTCCCAAACAAAGGCTCCCCTGTGGGCAGGTCTGTGTGCAGCCAGCCCATCCTCAGGGCCAGATTTCAGTGACCAGCAGGCACTTGAGCCCACCCAACACAGCTGGACCCCGCTGTACTCACCAGGGAGCTGCACCCCTCTGTACTCACCAGGGACACTGACCCCTATCCTTATCTAAGTACTGTCCCTATAGATCCTCCCAGGCTACATCTCCTGGCCACTGACACCCACAGCCAACCGGTCCATTGCGCTTTGGAGGTCTCACCCACCACTACTTAAAAGGCTCAGGAGCACCCATGGCAAAGCAGCCACCCATCACCTGCCTAGACAGAGCCTGCCTTTGCCAGAAAGATTTTGCTTCTGAGGTCTCTGTCAATCCAACTAAAATCTATACACACACACACACACACACACAGACACACACACACACACACACACAGAGAGAGAGAGAGAGAGAGAGAGAGAGAGAGAGAGAGAGAGAGACTAATCAGTCTGCTCCCTGTCATTACTGTTCTGACTTCAGCATCACAGTTCTTACCTTATGTTCTGCTTCTTCCATGCAGCCCTTCTCGACTGCTCCCTGCTAGCTGCAGTTTCTCCTTGTCTACCCACATCCTGGAGTGTGTGTATAGCTAAGAAGAGGCAAGGAGTATTCCCTCCCAAAGAGTGGCTACAGAGAGAGACAGGGAACCTGCTCCTACCTGTTCGCCAGAGCCAGTCCTCCTTTACAAAAAAGAAAAAAACAAAAACTCCTGGACACTTGATCCTAGCACACCTTCCCTCCCCTGCAGCTTGTACAGCTCTGAGGAGCACTGACAGCCAAATTCCTTAGGCTACAGTAAGATTTTTGACCCAGCATCCACCACTGGACTAGGTCTGTGACCTGAAGAGCAATCTTCAGTAAATGTGACATGAAGAACTAGAACTCAGTACCTCTGATTCCAGGGTCCAAATTCATCAAAACCTACCTTTAAAAAAAACTGTACCTTGCTGGGCGGTGGTGGCACACGCCTTTAATCCCAGCACTTGGGAGGCAGAGGCAGGTGAATTTCTGAGTTCGAGGCCAGCCTGGTCTACAGAGTGAGTTCCAGGACAGCCAGGGCTACACAGAGAAACCCTGTCTCGAAAAAAAAAAACTGTACCTTTAAGTTACAAGGTCACTCTTGGGCCCACTCACCTGTTTCTCCCCATCGTCTCATGGTCCTTAACCACCACGAGAAGTTCTGAACTCTGGTCTAGAGGAATACCTTTGAGGTCCCACTCAAAGCCCTGGAAGAAAAGAAGAGAAGGCAATTTAACCTGTGGCCCCAGGACACTGAGCAGATATCCAGAATGGTTCTAGGGGATGGGCATGTGGATTGGTAGGTGGCTGGTGGCTGGATGGATGGATGGATGGATGGATGGATGGACAGACGGATGTGGATCAGTAGATGGGTGGGGGTGGATGGATGGATGGATGGATAGGTGGGTAGATGGATAGGTGGGTGGATAAATAGATGGATGGAGTGGATAATAGATGCTGTGCTGCCTAGTTTTATATCAACTTGATACAAGCTAAAGTCATTGGAGAGGAAGGAGCCTTAATTAAGAAAATGCCTCCATGACATCTGGCTGTAGAAAAGCCGGTAGGACATTTTATTAATTAGTGATTGATGTGGGAGGGCCCAGTCCATTGTGGGTGGGGCCTCTGGGCTGATAGTCCTGGGTTCTGTAAGACACTGGGCTGAGCAAGTCGGTAGCAGCACTCCTCCTTAACCTCTGCATCAGCCCCTGCCTCTAGGTTCCTGCCCTTATTGAATTCTGACTTCCTTCAATGATGAACAGTGATGCGGAAGTATGCATCAAATAAATCTTTTTCTCTCCAAGTTGTTTTTGGTATTTTATCACAGCAATAGTAACTCTGACCAGTTGCTAGTCACTAGTTACTAGTAACTATAGTTGCATAGATGAGTGAGTGTGTAGATGGATGGATGGGTGGGTGAGTGAGATAGTAGCTGAGTAGATAGAAGGGTGGATGACTGAACATGAGTGGGAAATGAGTGGCTGGATACTTGGAAAAGTGTGTAGGTGACTGGATGCATGGATGGGTGGGCACTTGGATAAAGGGTAGACAGTTAGGTGAGTATGGAAGATAGGCGGGTAGATGACTAGGTAAGTAAACGGATAGATAGGTGGATGAATGGGTAGATGGATGATCGATATGTACATGGATAGATTAGTGAATAGGTGGGTATGTGAGTGAATGGACAGATTGGTGAGTTTGTCCATGGGTAGATGCATGAGTGGGTGAATGGATAGGTGGGTAAAAGGGTAGGTAGATGAGTGAAGAATAGATAGGTGGGTGGATGGGTGGGTGATTCTAAAGATAGATTGGTGTGTTTGTGTGTAGGTAGATGCTTGGATGGGTGGGAAGGTAGATATGTGGATGGATGGATGGATGGATGGATGGATGGATGGATGATAATGGATGGATAATGGATGGATAATGGATGGATGGATGGATGGATGGATGGATGGATGGATGGATGGATAATGGATAGATGGATAGATGGATAGATGGATAGATGGATAGATGGATAGATGGATAGATGGATAGATGGATAGATGGATAGATGGATGGATACCAGAATTCCAGAGCCTCAGAGGTATTGGTAAGAACTAGAGACAGAAAAAAAAAAAAAAAGAGGAAGCCACACTGCAGTAACCTTCTCTCCCAACTCATCCCAGAACACCAGAACAAAAGCACAAGTAAAAGTGCCAGGTGATCCCTCAGGGTCCTCACACACCAAGATCATATAGTCACCCAAAAGCCAGATCCCTGGTGGGCAGGTGGAGTTAGGGATAAGTTAAGGAAGGCCAGTCAGAGGCCCCTCCACCCTCCTAAAGCAAACATGCAGCCTGCACCTTGACTCTGTTCTCAACCCTGCTTCAGAAGAACCTCACAGAAGCCACATCTACAGAAAGCTCCTGACAGAACAGCTGGAGGACTTAGTTAATGAGGGAGTGCTGTGGAGAGGAAGTGGCTTTGGCCTGTGAGAAAAGACCAGGCAGGCAAGGGAGACTTGGCTGGCCAGAGCTGGGCAGCAGAGGAAAACAATACAAAAACCAAACAGCTATCCTGTCAGCCTACACCGTGGGGCAGGGTCTCAGGTTAGAGCTGGATCCTACCCTTCTGAGAAAGCCACCCCTTGTATCAGTCCCCCGTAGACGCAGAATGGACAGAAAAAGAGGGAGAGAAAAGAAACTGGTACATGTACCTCATTCCACACAGGATTCACACTGTTCTTGATGACTTTGGTTCTCTTCTTTACCCCTGTAGGAGACAAGGAAGACAAAAGTGGGTACTCATCACACTGGGCCATCCACCCTACCAGGCTCACCTGTAGAGCCTCCCTCTGGACTCAGCTCCAAAGGAGAGTTCACAAAACCAGCCTGGCCTCAACACCACCCAGGAATGCCTAATGGCTGTCATTATTCTCTCCTGGCTTTGGGAGCCACTAAACAACAGGGTGACCAGAAGGATGTTTATTGAAAGAAAAAGTCTAACAACATGGTAGTGTGTGCCTTTAATCCCAGCACTTGGGAAGCAAACATGTGAACTTCTGTGAGTTAAGGCTAACTTCGTCTATATAGAGAGTTCCAAGCCAGTCAGTCAGAAGACTGTTTCAAAGAAGAAGAGGAGGAGGAAGAGGAGAAGAAAAAGGAGAGGGAGGAAGAGGAGGAGGACGACGACAAAAAGGAGGAGAAGAAGGAGAAAGAAAAGAAAATGCGATAACCAACTCCTCATTAGTTGTGTCATGATGGTCATTGTCTTTCCTACTCCTATATTCTCCCAACTCCTCCACCCCACCCCCACCCTATGCTGCAGGTTAACCCAGGCCCCACCGTATTAGACAAGCACTCTACCACTGACCTGCGTCTCTAGCCTCTTTCTGACTTTCAGACCTCTTGTGAAAACGAACCCTTCCTTGGGGCTGGGGACGTAGCTCAGTTGGTAGAGTGCTTACCTAGTATGCACAAGGCCCTGGGCTGCACCCCAAGCTCAGCACACACTAAGTGTGGAGGTGTACTAATGTTCAGAGATAGAGGCAGGAGGATGAGCAGTTCAAGGCCATCCTTAGCTACACAGCAAGTTTGAGGCCAGCCTGGGCTACGTGAGTGACTGTCCCAAACAATTTTTTAAATGATAAAGATAAAATTAATAAACAAAGGTGAATAATCTTCCAAGAATATTATTTTTAAAATCTTTTAAAAGAATTTTCTTTTAAAAAACAAATACCTCTATGTATTGTTATCATGTTTGCATAAAATATCCAGAGCAAGCAAATCCATAGACTCAAGATTCCCAGGGGCGGAGTAGGGAGAAGGTAAACTCGGAGTGATTGGTAGCTATGAGTTTGGGGACAATGTTCTTGAAATAGATCATAATGTATGTTCAATATCTAACCCCTAATCACCTATCATTCATTTTGTTTGTCCTGTGACTCTAGGGATTGCACCCGAGGCTGTCCTGATGTCAGGCAAGCATCCTCCTGCAGCTGAGTCACACCCCAGCCTATTTTTCTATTTTTCTTTATTTTGAGATAAGATCTCATTCAGTGTCACAGGGTGACCTTGAACTCACTCCAGAACTTTAGATCCTCCTGCCTCAGCTTCTCATTACAGATCTATGGCACCAGGCCCTTTGACCTTAATTGGTTAAAATGATGGATTTGATTATTTGCCTCCCTCTCTTAGACCTAGAAAGGGTTTATGGGAAACAAGCAGACCCAGATAATCCTATCTGGCTCATGAAGCTGAAGGAAAGCAGGTGGCTTCGGGGTAGACAACTAGAAGAACTAACACCATGACATCTGAGAATTGACCCATGTGACCAAAGGTGGCAGACAGCTGCAGCAGTTATGGAGGAGGGAGCACTAAGGTCTGGGTGCCTAGTCCTAGCAAAGTGGGTGACTGAACCTTGAAGGAAGGATGGCGTAGAAGATGCCCAGGGAGAACTGTTTCCAGGGATGGACATTAGACTAAATGGGCAGGCTATGTACATAATGAAGTTAAGTCTGCTAAGTCTAGCTTGCAACTGTGGTCTCTGCTTGAGCAGACAGGTCTCCTCCTCTCTCAGGGTGATCCCCAGAAAGAGGTCACAGTAGGTTGACAGCATCAGCGTGAGGAGGGTCCCACCAAGCGGCCCCACAAAGACATCTGGAACTACAGAGAAAAGCAGCCCTGGAGGGAAGGGCCACAGGAACTGATGAAGCTAGGAATGGCCACTCTGTTCAGACAAGTATGGACGGCTATACCTTTCCCACTTTTCTAGAGAGCATCAGAAACTCAGTGTCTGGCTGCACAATAGTGGAAAGGAAGGGGTCAGCCAGCCAAGGAACCGTCGCCTCAGCCAGGGGTTCAGTCCTTCCCATACAACACAGAATTCTCTATTGAGAAGCCTGTGGTCTCCACCAGACTGCACGGACCATGAAGTCTTCTCTAAGACCTGGAATGTGTTCCAGGAGCTGGAGCCCTGAGTCCTCCAGAGTTGAGCTGTGGGCTTAGCCAGGTTCCTCATTGTTTAGCCTTCTCACATTTCCCTAGATATTGTAGAAGAGGGGGAACCCCCAGCCCCTCCCTCCTGGTTGTAAATCTCTGCGGTTGGGAGGTTGATGGGCTCTGCAGATATGTGAAGCACCACCAGCCATTTGTGTACAATCTCAAGCTTCCGGGTCCCAGAATATCATTCTTCTAAGTTACAGATGATTTAGAAACTGAAAGTGAAGCTGTTAAAATAGTATTTAGTAATCAATTTAGCTGAGCAAGACTGTCACTCCAGCACTCGGAAGGCTGAGGCAGAAAGATCTGTTCTAGACAGCCTGGGCCTGTGTCAAAGCAACGTTGGCAATCAATCTAAAATAATGGTAAGGAGCTGAAGAGATT